GGTCGATCGCGGCAATGCCGTTTGTAGCATTGGAATCGGCGTATCATTTTAACGGTGATCGTCCATCATTCGTAAATCCAACCCGTTCCCGACGTGAAACAAACCCGTCACGTGTGAAACATTGTTTTCGGGATATCAAATGGAGTTTAAGGAGATCAAAGAAAAAATGCATAAGTCCCTGACGAAATTACGCAACGCAATTCACCGCGGCTCGGTTTGCTACGCGCGATTTGTCTGTGGGTGGACCATTAAACCCCCGCTCTCTCGTACCCTCCTCTCGTCATAGCTATTTTTTCCTCATATAATTTCTCTCAGATAGAACGAACTCTGAGAGCTTTCGCGATCATACCCCGCGGTCGGTGTGAAAAACCGGGCGAATTTCCACGACGAAAAGGGTTCCATTAATATCTATTAGCGAGCCGTGCTCGACATCAGCCGGATTTATACATTCCCCGTTATTCCCCTCGCCATCCTTCTCCTCGATTCCAAATCTCTTTTTGAATCTCCTATTCACCGGCATATCGTCGAAGAACAGGAAAAAGATACAAGAGAACGAGCGAAGGAAGAAAATCACAGAAGGTTCTGAAATATGAGATGTCATTTGTTTTCATTAATTAACGCTAAATGAGAGTGCCAGACACCGAAACTGATACATTTTCCGCTTTATTAATATTCCGACAGCACAATCCCTCGCATTTACCATCAGTTTTCACTTTTGCGTAAATATTTCGTCACCTGTCCTACTATGAGGAAGACGAGAGGAATTTCGTTGCCTCGCGATGCTGTTCAAGTTCTATTTCTGGACTTCTGAACATAGATCGATTGGAAGGGTTTACATTGCAAGTTATACTTGGAAGATACGTAACGAAATTTCATCAAAAGTTTTGCAGATCTTTTTAAATTGCAGGACGTTTCAAATTAGAGAAGACAGTCTAATGCGCGATTTTATTTTTAATTTTACAGGTATATTCGAATTTTTATAGATGTATTGTGTGTAAAATTTTATTCGCTGCAAAATGAATTCTTCAACGATATTATAAATATTACTCAATAAATTTATTGTTAAAGTAACTCGCATATTCACCGCAGCATTTAAAATTTTTTACTTGTGCTTATTTAATCCCTTTTTTATATCTCGTGTATTTCGAACGTTACATAAATATGAAGATCAAGGTATTTTTATTGGCGTATCTTATTCACCGTTTGAGCTAAAGGGATTGTTTTCGTCGCTTTATTTCAATCCTCTTATCAAAGCGGCTGTGCTTCCAATTTCCCGGGCGCTTTTATGCACTTTGAACGATGCGCTTAATTCACCGAATAAACGCCTCCGCGCTTTTTCTCCCGTACGGCCGCGCGCACGTAATTTGCTCGAAAAAGCGGCCCTACGACTCATCCCTGTCGAGGCCAAAAAGCAGCGGTGACTTGCGAAGCGTATTCGAATTCAAAGGGTTCGTAATTAATCGACGCGTGAGCATGTTGTAATAATCGTCGCTGAACTTTCGTCCATCACCCCGAAACGGGTACAGTCTCGAATTTCCTTTTATGCACGTCCGGCAATGAGATTCAAAAAATAAATGACATAATAGAAAGCTGAAAAAACATTTTCGCGCACAAGAATAAATAATGTATGCGTATGTATACATCGAAAATCGAATCGAAAACGGTATTAACGTTTCACATTCGCTTTTTTATTTCGGTTTATTATACTTTTCACAAGTGATTATTTTTCGTAACGCATTTGTTATCGTGGAATAACGTAACAGCGAAATATATTGACACTGATGTAAATTTCAATGCACGTTCCAGTAGACAACAAGTAAACGGGTTTGATAATCCTCTTGCGTAGCATTTGTTGTCATAAATCAAATTAACGTAGAAATTCGTCGGGAAAACGTGAAAACGTTTATTCAGCTGTAAAGTCATAATAGCATCATGCCGGAGTGTATCATAAAATAGTAAAGTCTCAAATAAGCTTCCAGTCAGTTGTTCAATTGATTGAAAGAATATAAAAGCTACATACGATAATCCAAGCGTGCGTTTACAATTAGTTTTATTACACTTTATTTTATGGTAAATCCTACATTGAAACGTTTGTTTCATTAGCTAAGAATTCTATCAATAGTGAGAATGACTTGATTTTCTAGTAGAATGACAGCGAGGTAGAGAAGTTTACACGACACCGAAATTACTGTAGAGCCTCTAATTGTGACTAATGCATTCTTAATTGCCTGATTTACATTTTGTACGCTTTAGCGTGCGACTTCTTTTCTTTGTTAACAAAAATTAATTTGGGATTAGCATACCAGAGCTCAGCGCAACGTTCACGTACTTAATAACAGCTACGGGAGTAAAAATACTCGCGTACTGTGTTACTATTGTGACATATGATACTTGCGTGTAGTTGTACACGATTTATATACATATATGCGGGACGTTATGACTGACATATATTTTATAATAACATTTTTGTATAAAAATTTCATGAAATAACCACGTAGTTCGAGGGGGTAACCACTTAATGTAATCGTCGGACAGAATCCTCGAAATCATTATAAAATTTATATAAAATCTCTATGTATAATCCGACAATTATATATGCAACCATGAGAAATATCATTGTATAATATTAAATAAAATCGTATATTTTACCAAATTACTTCATAGTAGCGAAAAAAATTATTTGTAATCAGATGAAATCATGTAATCTGTGGGACAATATTTCAGCTAGTGGTTACCCCTTTGACGTAGTTTATTATCATATAAGGCTATCCAAATTATTTAAGTTAATATTTAATTTAGAAGTGACTGGTAATAAAATTAATTGAAATATTTGTATTCAGATTCGGTAATATTAAAAGAATAGAAAAATAGAAAATAGAAAAATAGAATAACTCGGGATTTTATTAAAACAAAGGCTGACATATCTGTTTCTTTAATAAAAGTTCCATTGTTTGATGTAATAACTGGAGTCACAATGTATATTAATGTATTTTCTCGAAGTCTCGAAAGGATTAAATATCTCGGAAACCCAGCCAATGTTTTCATTAAGATGCCATAACTTATACTATCAAAATCTTTGATACCGCAGGCGAATGCATTTCCGGATTTCTTCGCGCAGATCTCCTCGACACGGTGCTTTCGCGGTTCCCAATTCTGCGAGTTTGCCTATCATCCGGTTGCATCTCTTAAACTTATTTAAGTTTCACCCATATTTTATCCCGAAAGCGGACGATACTTTGAAGAATACGACGAACCACTCTCGCGGTGAAATCTTACCGGCTACAGCGACCGCTATCGTATGGCCCATCCACGCCGAAAATCCACGTAATCTTCGAAAGCGTCTCTCGATTCCGGAAACGATTGCGAGGAACGATAAGAAGAATGGCGTAAAATAAAAGAGGAATTGTGTATTTCGTCAAATCCTGCTGTTAGAATCGATCCTCGAATAATCCCGCTTAAGCGTAATTTCGTATACGATGCGAATCCGATTTAATATCGAACGGTGGCTCTTCGCTTACAAGTGCGAAGTGTATAATCGGATATCGTCTCCATAGTTACTACATGGAAAGAACGATTTTGCTAAAGTATTAAAAAATTTAGTTAGATACGCATTTGAAAATTTTATTGGACCATCAAAGTAATTAAAATAAAAGTAATTGTGTAAAACGTTCAAACTGATCACTATATAGAATGTCAAAACTTTTTGTAATATTATTATTATTATCACGCTTGAAAGTTTTACATAATTATTTTGATGATCTAATAAAATTATTTTCAAATCTGTACCTAGCTAAATTTTTTAATATTTTAGCGAATCCGTTCTTTCCATGTATGATCCATTAATACACTCTTCTCTCTGCCATTATTGTTTTTTGTTAACTTTTATACATTAAAATTATTTTGTTTCGCGATATTGCGTTTTTTATTTTAATACAATTTTAAATTGTTAGAAGTTATACACCGAGAAGCGTATTCTAACTTTTTTAAGAATATCAGAAATTTTCTTTATATGAATTCGTGAATATTCCATATCGAACTTTAACCTAGTATTGAGTTAAATTCCAAAATAATTTTTTCGAGGTAGATTTCAAGAAAAATTAAGAACCAAAAAAGTAATGTTTTCCTTAAACAAAATATTCTTTTAACGAAATTATCCCTTAAGTTATTTAATTATTAATTACGATTTACAATGACCTTTTAGTAAAGTTATATAAATAAAAACATATTTTAAAATCTTTCATTGTGTTGTTTCCCCAATTAATACCATAAAGGTTGTTTTGATTGATGAAATTGATGTCTATAAATTTCGTCTTGAAACTTATAGACATCAGAAAACTTCAGAATGTAACATTTTCTTTGTGTACTAATGAAAGACAGCAGTAAAACGCAGATGATCCGCGATAAAAATTTAGGCGAATAAATGATTACATAATATACATGTTCTCATTCCGTAGACTAGGGACTGGGGACGATATTGTTTTTCACGAGCTCCGTGTGCGCGTACGTCGGGCTCGGCGCCCAATCGTACTTCCGCTTTATATCGAGTGCTATTTTGGATGATTTATCGACGAGACGCTTTCGTCGCTGCTAGCTCGATATCGGCTCTTCCTCCCTTTTTTTATGTCCTCCCTACCGAATGCATCGAGAGCGACGCTCTCGATCACCAGCAGCGTTTATCCTCGCTGCGCAGCCTTCGCCACGTTCACCTCTCCTCCTCTTACTCTTTCTCTCCACCCTTCCTCTCACTCTATATCGTCACTCCGAGTGACAAGCCCTTGTCACTTCCTCTCTTCCCCTCGGCCGGGACCGGCCGGCTGCACATTTCGACGTTCGGCTGATTTTAAAAAAGTGAGAAAAGGAAGGCAAAAGATCCCTCTCTCTCTTTCTAAAAGAAGAGAGTGATAGCGCGAGAACAGAAGGAAGCGACAAATTTGCGAAGAGAAAGCGACGTAAAGCCGTATGATCGATAAACGACCTCTTTCGTTTTATTTGTTTTGCAGATTCTACCATGCCGGTGGGCCTTTGTCTGCTGATCGAGAAAGGACTGTCTGCGGTGAGTGAATTTTTCTTCCAAATATTTTGGTATACATATGTATAAGGGTCGTACGAGCGGAAAGTGAGCAAATCCAATATCCGGGTAATCGACTGAACGATAGTCGCGCGATACCGCAGCTCGTTCGACAAGGGAGGCGTTACATTGTAATTTATTGCCCCTAATAGCGTCGACGCTTTTGCATTGTATCGATTGGAAATAAAAAAAAAATCGGCGAGGTTGCATCACCAACAGCTTTGTGAAATTTCACGTTAATTAATTTATTTATTTTCTCTATAGTTAACGAGATAATCACTGCAATCACAGATTTTTATTAATCTGTATCGATATTATGTTTTATTCTAAGCCATACACGTGTATCTTAAAGCATATTTATAAATGATTAAAGAGAAGAACAATACTAAGAAATAAAATATATATTTGAGAGAAAATATTATTCATATTACATTTGTTATTATAAATTTGATTATATAATTAAGGGACCTTTTCTTAGATATTCTTAAAATGTTGATATTTATGCTATTTTTTAAAATATGCTTAAACAAGACTAATTAATTAAATTATGTCTTGTTTAACATAGACTTCATGAAGTCAGAGCAATGACTTGGGTAATAAGCAAGCAATTGCATTCTATTAAATTCGTTCGCGTTCTTCGGAAATGAACGCGTTCAAGTTTTGTTGTATGAAGTCCTAGATAATCAAAAGCGAGAAAGAGAATTCTTGACTCGTAGGGAAGTCATCTCTCGTTCGTGCGCTTTTTCGCTTCTTGTAACACCCGCAGTGAGCATCGAAGAGAACAACCAGAAATAAAGGGAAAGACAAAGTCAAAGAGAAATAAACACGAGAAACTGAGAGATACATTGCACGCTTTTCACCTCTGGTTATTTTTTCTTTTTTTTTTTGTAGAGGAACGGAGAACTAAATAATATAATGATATGGGGAACTCGTGACAAGTAACTTTCTACAACCAAAGAAAAGTACTGAAACTGGGGAGACATTTATTGCATTTTCCCCTTCCTTGAGCTTCCGCTTGGTGAACTGTCGATGAACTGTCGAGCCCACCTCTGTGAAATATTCTGAAACATTGCTGTGTGTCCGCGGCAATAAGAAGAGTATATTTTATTTCACAAATTGTTCTAATCTGTCATGACGAAAAATATACTTGTTTACTATGTTTATATATTTTATCGTGAAATATTTAAACTTACTTTTTTTATTCAGTTTGGGGATTCTTTTATGTGAATGTTATCTACTATCTAGTACTATATTTTTTTATTGATAAATTGCATCGATAAAAATACAATGTAAAACTAATTTGTTTGAACTAAAGCATAATATAAAATATTGTATCAATTTTTATCATTAAAGATAAATGGAACTTTAAAACGATGCTCTTTTATAATAATTATATCATCGCAGATTAGAGTAATGATGTTTTTTTATTGTCTCTTTTGACGATCATTATAACGTCCAAGAATACTGCTCAATTGAAGTATGCGGACAAATCAATTCGATCGATTTGACGATCCCTCGGCTAGCAGATAAACGCGGCGATATTTTTCCCGGTGAAAGTCGACGGTGCCATACATAGTGCTTTATCTACACCGATAATACCGGCAGGGGTTTAACATCGAATCTCTCGCACAATGTTCCCTTATCGCCCTGTCGTAAAGGTCGCCGTCTGTTGAAACGTCCGATTATCATCGCTGCGTGTAGTTGTCGATTCTAGTCATCACGTAAATTAACAACTATGTAAGGAAATGAATGATTGCATGACGGGGAGGTCATGCAATCATTATTCATTTCCTTACATACCATTATAAACGCTTAAACCATAATGTAGATGTGTTACTAATTATGTTGTACAGCAATTCCGCGATGATCGAATGTGAATCGAAAATTGTCCTAGATTAAAGTAATCGCGGATGAAGAAATAAATTTTCAATTATTTTGCGTAATGAAACTTCAGTAAAATTGCAATATTAGAAACAGCAATCTATCAAGTTAAGAATAATTAATTTTGGCAAGTACATATCAATTTATATTTACATTAATATTCTCCTATATATGGGATACAACGATATATAAACGGCTTCGTACATATGCAATTACTTAACGTGATGTATAATCAGCTCGATACAATTCACAATGTCTGTCCAAGCATCGAACTCAATTTGCCGATCTCCTTTTCTGAAATGAAATCCATTGATATACAAACGCTACTGTCGATACCTCGCCAGCGCACGCAATAATTACTCACTGATTAATCGTCAGCCGCTAATCGACTAATAATTCGACTAATGACGAACGCATAATTACAACGTTGTATGAATAATTCGGTCAGAGCGAAGTGCGCAGTTCCCCTATGAATAATATATAGCAAATTAATACTCAGAACTATAACATATCGCACGCAGATAACTTATGCTCCCGTTTTCGCATGTATTTTCACCATTTACGTGATCGCGTTTATTCGAATGAAATTGTCGGGTTTTATTATGCGATCTGCATGTGCAATTCGTATCGTTTAATAATTTAAACGTTATAGTTATCTGATGGCACGGAAAACTTATCGGCCACGTTCGTTTGCAAGTTGCATTTTTTAACCGCCGTGTCAACTGTGATATGTGGCGCGTTAGTAGTGAAGATATGATGACGACTTTCATAATAAATGTATGCATTTTCGGACCATCGAGTCCAGGCTTTATTCAGCATTTATGCTTTGTACTTAGCTTTAGTAAATAGATAACGTAAATAAATATATTTCAAATAATTGCGTTAATAAAATAATTCTTATTTATAAATTTAACGAAACGGTGTTTCAACAATTAATATTCACATTTTAAAATATTAATATTATTATTGAATTAATCGAATAAAATTTTCTCATTTCTTTAAGTCTTACTATACAATTATATTTACACAAAAAAATTCTATTGTTAATAATTTTCGTTATTAATTAAAAAACTCCGTCTATACGATATTAAGTTTGCTTTTGCTAATTCTATTGTGTTATTTGTACAGGAACGTAATGATTTGTATTGTACAAATTTTTAAACATTCAATATGCATCTATCTTTATATCAAATTTATGGTATTCTTTTGTACAGCATAATTGGGTCAAGCGCTCAATAAATATTTAACCGGAAAACATGCTTTTTATTTTCCACGATTTCATTCGGATGCTCGGTGATCCTCACGAGTGGATTTTAATTTTCAATTCATGTGATACCGTTTATCCGTTACATATTTTTTGAGTTTTATTATTTTAGGTATACGTATATTGCACTCTTTGTTTTTTATTGATAAAATTTTTATTAAGTTTTAGGGCTGTCAAGTCACAATTTTAAATAATTGAAAAAAATTATGATTTATAATAGAGTGTGAAGACAATGGCTTTAAATCAAAATAAAATAATATACTTCAAAATTATATATATATATTTATATATATGTATGCATGTATGAAAATCCATGAAAGCCAGTACTGAATGGAATTGTGTAAAAAATATATGTATTGATAAAAACTAAATAAAGACATTTGTTTGTCGTAGCTTTCATAAGCTTAAAATAATTGTACACTTTTATTTTGTGCGTTTTAACTATTTTGTGCGAGTTCAAACCATCTTATTACAAATATAAGTTTTTATTGCTTTGTACATTAGACTATGATAATATAAATAACCATTTAATATTTTAGTTTTTATTATTCGACTTACAATTAAGTATTCTATCAAATATTAAACATTCGTTGATAATTTTCAGGACATGATATTCAGAAAATTTCACAATTCGATAACACACCGAAAAAAATTTTATCAATTTTGGTATCTCCGTTATATCCAACGTACGCGTAATAATTTTTATTATTTTGTTAATCTTATATTGAAAATGACGCCAACAAAGGATTGAAACATCTGTTATATTTAATTTTTATCAATATATATACTTTTTACATAATTCCATCCAGTGTTAGCTTTCATGTACTTCATTTGAAATTACATTTTATCACGATTATATATTCTATAGACTTGAATATATTATAAATTGCAGGTTTTAAAAAATCATTTCTAACGAGAGAGAGAAAGAGATTATTAATTAATATAATATTATTAATTAATATAAAATTCGCTAAACAACACACTTTCGATGGAATTTTTTTAACGGTTCTCTGAGAATCTCCTCTGTATCCTTCACCAACTGAGCTCCGAAGGAACACTGCATTCTTTATGAAATGTACCGTTAGTCTTTAAGGGTAATTACTTCAGATACAAAACTTCGCAAAGTATGAGACTATAAAACAAGAAGTTTTTGCAGCCAGGCCTGCAGTGCGCGACGCGGAAGCGAAATATTTTCCGGGCGAGCGAATGTTTCTCACCGCGAGCGTCAGTGTTTGTTTCCGCGCCATAATAACTTGCCGGTGATAAATCACGCTCATGCGATACTTTGTCAAACGGGTCCGACAGCGCGTTTAAATAATTAACCTTTTGTCCCGGACGGGTGTGTAATTTTTTATTGAATCCTATAACAGCAGCCAACTGCGCTATTGCACGGATGAAATACCGTGATTCAATATTGTGAGCGTTGTGACGACGACTGTGATTTATATCCCTCTTTGTAACACACTTTGTTCTGATAATTAATCTCGTAGTAATCTCACGTTTTGCATATTCGCAATAATTTCGTTCATGTTACTGCTCTTTATAATTCTGCCCTTTGCTATATAAAAATGGCGCCCTTTTAGACACTGCATGTTTTTATATATGTATATATATATATATGTATATATAACATACATATTTATTGGATTTAAAAGTAATTTTAAACGAAAATAAATCTCTACATATTAATGATATTTTTATAGAAATTCAATTTCTACAAAGAATCAAGCATTTGTACTTTTTCATTTTGAATATAAGATTACAAAAATGTATTATTAATAATTTAGTTGAATTTCATCAATCCATCATCTCCATCGTGATAAGAGAGATGCACAAATTT